GTATTCAAGATAAGTCGTTGTGGCGCCTTGAAAAGCCACTTCAACTCTGAGAATGCTAAACATGTCACCTTGCAGCTCCCTGTAGGAGAACCAGGCGAGCGTAGCTACCAAACAAGACCAAGAAATTAACTTGAAGGCCACCATCGAGACCTGATGTACATCACATGCAAAAGAAGAAGGAGTAAAACCTACTATATTTTATAGGAAAGAAAGGACACCACTTCTTGGAGTAGTGTAAGGCTTTCTAGTCATCAGCTTTGTGGTTTCATTTAAGATGTTAATAGTACATTGTAAGTTAATTATAAAATTAATATAAATCAATCCAAATCCGACATCATGTTGATTCTAGGCTACCCGAGTCTGAAGAGAGTGACTTGTCTATCGATGAAGTTGGGGAAGAAGGCCCCTCGGAGCTAAAAGTTGCACAAGCAGAAACAGCTGCAGCCAAAGCAGATGCTGAAGCAGCAGAGGCCGCGTTAGAACTTACCCTGGAACTCCTGAAGTCTTCCCAGAGGGATTTGGTTGCAGCAGAGGCTAAGATGAGCGCTCTTCAAATTCAAGTTGACATTTCGTTTTGGGCTTCAAAGGTTTCAGGCAGGCGATGATAGTATAAAATTCTACACTGGATTTGCCAGTTATAACCATCTTCTAAAGGTATATAGTTTGTTAGAGCCCTCAGCTGAACGAATGACTTACATCTACAGTGCAGGTATGAATGTCCAGGAGAGTCGGCCATCTGCAAGGACAATCGTACTTATCGATGAGTTTTCTTATTTCTTGTAAGGGTAAGGGTAGGTCTTTTTGCCCAAGACTTAGCACATGGGTTTAACATTCACATTGCTACTGTAAGTAGGAAAGTTATAACTTGGAAAAGTTTTTTGTACTTTACTCTGGGGAACCAGATTATCTGGCCAAGTAGGGAATAGATAGATTTGCACATGACAGAGGGTTTTCAGAGGTTGTACCCAAAAACAAGGGTAATACTGGGTTGCAAAGAAATTTATGTTCAGTCACCTTCATCCCTATTATTACAATCGCAGGTGTACTCTACTTACAAGAGCAACACAACGCTTACGGGTCTAGTAGGTATTGCCCCTCATGGAGCTATTACTTTTGTATCAGCCCTTACACTCGATCTATATCAGATAAAGAAATAACTAGAGTTTCAGGAATATTAGATCTTTTAGAACCTGGAGACACTGTGATGGCTGACAAGGGCTTTGACATTGGTGATATGCTAAGGGAAAAAGGGATAAGTTTAAACCTGCCTCCATTTCTTCGTTACAGTGGCCAATTTAGTGCTCAACAAGTCCAAGAGACAAAGCAAATTGCCAAACTGCGAATCCACGTTGAGAGGGCAATACGGAGAATTAAAGAGTCCCGCATTTTTTTTCACACATCTCTCTCAACTTAATGGGTACAATTAATCAAATTTACACAGTAGTTTGCTTATTAGTGAACTTCCAGGGACCACTGATAATGTCATCAGCAGAAGGATAGATAATACATGAGAGAAACACAGTTAGCCCACTTTACTTTATGGTAAACATTGTGGAAAGCCTACAACCATAATTCTGTCAAAGGTATAAGATAGTGTACAAACAATATTGCTCAATACTGTGACAAGTCCAGGCTATGCCTTGGGCTATAAAAGGTCATGCAACAAGAAACAGTTCTTGGTTCATTGTAAATAATCCTTGGTTAGAGATTGACAAATACTTTTAAGGGAGTACAATTACAAGAAATTTGCCAGGATGTTTTTTTATATCATTGTACAACTGCAAACATGTTTCTTGAAGACCCAACAGTTCATTATTAAACAGTTATATCTGTAATTGGTGAATTTTATTCAATCCACGAAAAGACTTAAATTTTCTCATCACCCTTAAATACATTAGTGGTATTAAAATCTTCTAAGAGTAGGAATATCTGTCTTCAATAGTATGTGTTAATGCAGTTTCTTTGTATTGAGAAAACGAAATAAAAGAAAACATCTTAATCAGAGTTGTAAGTGTTACAAAACCTTGACACAGTAATAGATTATTGCAGAATCATGAAGTCTTGGGGACAATGCACTTAAGCTTGTACATACCTAAGCAACTTAT